TTGATTTCTGTGCCCTTCGTCTTGTATGTAAGTTTATCATCTTTGGGCAAGGGAAGGGGGAATCACAGGAACAGGGGACAAAGGTGAACCAATGCAACAGTGATACTCACTAGACGCTATGTTGGAAGTGATCTTTACAACTTGGAGGGAGGGGCATCAGGTGGAAGTGGAAGAAAACGAAGGCGGGGATAACACTGTTCAAAAAGAAATGTACTCCTGACCTCACTTATGTAACTGTAACCCTTCTGTCCATCACCTTTACCATAAAACCAACTTTGAAATGCCCTACATTTTATTACAAAGGCTGGAGGGGGCCAGGAAAAGATAAGGGAAATTACCACACCTATTGTGTCATAAAAACCGTTCCATATTCCTGCCTGTAGCTATAACCTCAACTTGAAGTCCCTGGCTCTGAGCTTTAGGTACCACTGATTGCTTTGGGCATGGTATTTTCCCAGATGTTTAAACAAAGCCAATCCAGAAGCAACAGGTACACCGCAGCCTGTAGACTTCCCTCCCATATCAAACTCACTTTCCTCCCCAACCTTCATTATAAAAATTCTCTTGGCTTCTATAATAGGCATTTCCTACTGGTGCTTAGCTCTGCTACTGGAAGTTATGCAACTTGCCTTGGCCTTGCTAACATCTGTAACTGCTCAGTAAACACTTTTATTTCAGAGAAGCTGTGGGGCAAGAGTTTCTGTTTAACAGCAACAGGTCCCGTCCTGGATATCTTTTTAAGATCCTCAACATCTTCTTGCAGCCTTCTCAAGGCAAATAGGGCTTTCCACTCATGTGCCCTCCGACCTGTTCTGTTCATTTCCATGTCTACACCACATATCCTCTCATTACCATCTGAAGTTGCCAGAATGGGCATTTCCAGGCCAAATTTAGAGGCAGGGAAGAGGATCACAGTATTCCTGGAGAGCTAAGAGAGTACCTAAAGGAGGAAGCTAACCCATGAGCTGGGACAGCCTGAAGGAGCAGGCAGAAGGGGAGAAGGATGGAGCAGGAAGGAGGTCCTAAAGGGCTTCATGGTCACCAAAAGTCTCCCGTGTTTCTGTCACAGTGGGACGATAAACATTCCTGTTGACCAATATGTAGAAGTAGGTTGAGGGATTTATACTGCATGGGATATGAAAGCTGAGTGAGTGACTTAAATAACTTGGTCCAAAGCATGTTAGGCAGTTCTGTGAGATGAGGCAGAAAGCACCTGCAGTAGAAAGCCGAATGGTGAAATAAGAAAGGTGTATTCGTGAACCATGTGTAAGGGCTTTGGATTAACTAGTAGAAGTGTTCTTTCCCAAACCCATCTCTGCTGTGCTGGCCCCATGACTTGATTCCAGCTGTGTTCATGCCCCATTCCTCATTCCCCATGCTCAGTTCTCCCATTTTTCCTATGAAAATCTGCTGACTTTTCAAGTCCTGCTTCAAATGCCATAGTTCCCACTATGTCATTCCTGACCCTTCCCAAAGAATAGACTTCATATATAGTGTACCTAGAGCCTTAGCTTTGCTCCTAACACCACGCTGTTTCAGGTCATTGCTGCTTCTGGGAATTAAGAATGTAAATTATCTATTAGGAAAGGCAAGGCTTTCCACCACTCTTCTCTAGGCAGCACAGAACAATAGAATGCACTTAATAGCTATAATACTTGCAAATTACACTGAGGATTCAAAGCAAGAGGGTAAAACAAGGTGAAGGTCTTATATCCCTTTTAAGGAAGTGTTTACTACACCAAGAAAAGTTTCTGTAAAGTACATTTAAAAACATACAGTCCTGGTTAATGTTGTTGTGGGTCTAATGTGAGCCTAATTTGGTGTGACCTGCTCTGGTGAACAAACATTGATTGTTTCTTCTTTCCTTTGCTCTTGCTAATAAAGAAAAGGTGTGTATGGTGGTGGTGGTGGTGGTGGGGAACCACTAAAATGGTCAAAATAGAAAAAAAATAAAAGCCAGCAGTAATACTAATACTAGCTAACAGCTTATTCTGTGTCAAGAGAAGTGCTAAGTACTTCACCTCATGGTATAATTCAACAACCCCGTGAGACACAGTTATCTCAATTATCCAGAGATGATGTCAGATCAAGCAACTTTCTCAGGAATGACGAGGCTACAATACTTTCTGTTTCTATGGTATTGTAATATGTATCATGACCTTTCATAAAGCTTCACATAGATGATTTCTTTCATCCTCATAAAAAGTCTCCTTTGGTAGATAGACTCTCCTATCATACTTATTTTTTTTTTTAAATTCAGTGGAAATTCTAGTTGTTTAAACCATTTCCAATCATCAGTGGATATAAAAACATTCTATTTGGGCTGGGAAGGTGGCTCAGTGGTAGAGCGTTTGCCTTGCATGCATGAGGCCCTGGGTTCAATTCCTCAGCACCACATAAGCAAAAAGAAAAAAAAAAGCCGGAAGTGGCGCTGTGTCTCAAGTGGTAGCTGAAGAGCTGAGGGACAGTGCTGAGGGACAGTGTCCAGTCCCAGAGTTGAAGAGCTGAGGGATAGAGCTGAGGGACAGTGTCCAGTCCCAGAGTTCAGGCCCCACGACCAGACCCCCCCCCCCAAAAAAAACATTCTATTTATGTGTGAATTGGTAACTTTGTATGTTGAATAGCAGAGGGTTCAGTGGTATCTTAGAAAACAATTCTTATTGTTTAACTATCTTTTGATACACCTATTAATCAACTGAGGAGTCCATTTTACTTAAGGAGGGGAATATCTTTTCTTGAATAGAAAAGGCATTGAAACCCTGTGGGTTCTTGATAATCAACAGTACATTGATAATAACAATGAAATTCATTAAAACAATCTGTCCTTTCTCTGTACTAAGTATGAAATAAAATCTGATTGTGTACTATTTGATTACATTAACTTGACTATATCATATTTGTCACCTTAGATTTAGTGACCTTGGAAATGTTTGCAAATGTTGACTGCAGCATAGGTGGATGGACTCTATGAAATTAAAACCTATGCACGTGTGAGATATTAAATGTTTCTGTTTTCTTTTGGTTTGGCAGGGTATATAGATAACTAGCATCTTTTTCTGTTGCTGGGGCTGCATTTAATTGTTAGAACAGCATTTAGTGTATAAAGATACTCAGAGCTAAACTCAGGGTTTCAAACAAATCATGACTGGTGCTCTACACCTGAGCCACACTTCCATCCCATGTTAGACCACATTTGCTAGAGAATTGTTCTGTATCAGCATACTCAGTCCATAAACCCTCCTCCACTTCTCAAATCTTCAATTCCCTTTTCTTAAGAAACTCACCTCTATATTTTAAAATGTCACAGTTTTTCTCACTCCCAAAATGTAAAAACCACTTTCTCAATGCTGCCTTTCTTCTTTGTCTCTTTCTTTATCTTCCCCTCTCACCTTGGCCAAGGGTCTTGAAAGAGTGACTTATGTTCCTTCTCCTTTCTTTCACTGCTCAGTCCGCTACTCTTTGGTTCTCACCTTCAACCAAACCACAGAACTCTGCAAAAGTCCACAAACCTGTGGGTTTCCTCATCCCCACCTTACCACCAAATCCAAAGGCGAATGTTCACTTCTTGGATTGATGGCTGGGCTGCATTTGACATTGTTGGTTGGCTCTTTGTAGTTGATTTAGTACTTTTTGCTTCCTCTGCCCCTTTGTATACATTAAACTCTGTTTTCCCAAATTCCAACTTATTTTCTTGGCTCTTCTTGGATCACTCTTCTTGGCTTATACTTACTCGCTGTCAATCCAAATTATGGGACATTTTCATATCTACCTGGCATATTTCCAGAGCTAGAGATTGGAAAGTCCAAGTGACTGAGGGTCATCTTTGTTTTGACTTCCATAGTTTCTCAAACTCTGTATGTCCAAAATGGAACTTAATGTCTTCCCTTCTGTCTTCTCCATATACTCTTCCGAGGCTATGACCGGCATAAAACAAAAAACAAAACCCTAAGAGTCTTGGTAGGCTCCTCTCAATCTGTGAATTCACTTCCTAAGAAGCCTCTCTTTCTCCCCCTCCTTCTCTCCCACTCCTCTCCCTTGTACTATTTTAATACTTTCCTAGTTCTCTTTCTTTTCCTGATCTTTTTAATTCTCTGAACACAATCCGTGCTTTCTCGATAATATCCACCTATCCATTCATGCCACTGCCCCATGTTAACAATTCTTCAACGTTGTGCCCATGCATACATTTTGTTCTTTGAAACCTATCTCACTCAATTTTCCCAGTTCCTACTATGAGGCTCTGCCGAAAAGAAGGCATTCTTAAATTCTCCCAGCTTCTGCCTGGAGGATCTCACAGCTGAGCTAAAGTCCCAGCTCCACATTGCCACAGGGTCAGTGCACAGCTCTATCACAGCATTCTTTGCTAGAATTCCTCAAATAAGAACGATTGGATGATTCTGTTTTGGATTTCCCGGGCTAGAAAATGTTCGCAGAAGATACATACAACGGACAGAGAGAAGCTTGTTTGCTACCAAGTCAACAACAATCTTCTTTGAGTGAAAAATGAAAAGATTCAATGCCTCCCCGTCGGGGAATCGAACCCCGGTCTCCCGCGTGACAGGCGGGGATACTCACCACTATACTAACGAGGAACTGCATACGGAGAAGCTTTCTGTTACAGCTTTTATCCTATTTCACCCTCCCGCCCCCTCCGCATTGACAGCGGCCAATAGGTTTGGCTTCTTTCGTTAGCAGGTAGTTTTCTCCTCTTTCAAATGGAATGAGAATAAAAATGCTGTGTTGCCCACCCCGCAGCACTTTGCACCGTTCCCTCATCCCACCCCTTCTTTAACCGAGCCCTTCTCCCCTCCCGGCGGCCCCCTCCCCTTGTCCCTCCCCGGGCCCTCCAACTCACACTCCCAGCTGTCCTTGCGCTCACCCTCTCGCGCTGCATCACGGGATTAGTAGTTCGGTCCTGCCGTCTGCTCGCGCTCTTTGGCTCTAAGAGACTTCTCTTCCCGGCGTGCATCGCGAGGCCGCTTCTCTTTGCCCCTTCTCTCTCTCTCAGTCCTGCAGTGGGAGTCGGGCCGCCGAGTGCCGGGGTTCGTGTCTCCGTGCGTCGGGTCCCTCAGAGCCATGCCCGCGGTCGTGGATTCGTGTTCTCTGGCCTCTCCCGCCTCGGTCTGTCAGACCAAGCACCTGCACCTCCGCTGCAGCGTCGACTTCGCCCGTCGGGTGCTGGCCGGGACCGCCGCGCTCACCGTCCAGTCTCGGGAGGACAATCTGCGCAGCCTGGTACGGGGGGCGGGGTGTCCAGTGTCCCCTCTCTCCGGCCCCCTCCTGGGCCTCCAGTGCCCCCATCTCCCTTCCCGGCCCGCGCCCGGGGCCGCTGCTCCGCGGGCTGTGCACCTCCGCTCCCGCCCCCACTCATCTTTCCTTGCCCCCCCTCCCTCGGTCCCTCTCTCTCCATCCCCTCTTCAACCCCGCTTAGCGCCTCCGCGTCCCTTCCACCCGGCCCTCCCGGAAGCCCCCTCCCCAGTGCCTGGGCACGTCCTGGCGCCCCATCCCTCACGCAGGACTCAGGTTTCAAATTAGCAAAAGTCCCTCACCCCCCCCCCATCCTAGTAGGCAGCGCCATCTGCCCCCCTCCACCCCCATTTCCTGGGCTACAACTCCCAACACCCCCTCCTCAGGCCCCACGCTTCTTCCAGCCCACCTTCCTCATCCCACATCCGGTGGATCCTGATTGCTCTCTTCCCACCCAGGAGCCTTTATTCCAACCCACAAGTCTGTGGGATACGGACCTGTGGGTCCAGTCCTGTGCCCGGCTCCCTAGATCTTCCCTGCGGTCATTTGCAAGCCCCGGGCCTTTCTCTCGGCCCGGCTTTGAAGTTTCCAGTGTCTGCTCTCTGAAGTCTAGGTGTAGTGATTTCTCAAGGTTCTTTCTGCCCTTTCTTATCGCTTCCTTGTAATTTAAGGACTGGTGGGACAGTCAAGCTTTCTAGGAATGACTCTGTGCAGTTCCAAGGAGCAAGTAATTATGGCGTTTCTAGCGAGTAGTACTTCTGATCATTTGCATACAGTTTGTTTAGAATCATGGAATTATATTCAGTGATTTTACCTGACTCGTGTCACACCTGTTCTTTAGAAATAAGATGGACATGAAAAGACCATCTGTGTTCAGCCTCCCAGGCGGGACAGGAGAGCGTACTGTGTGTGTCTCATCGTGTGTTGAGGTAGTAAGGATGGAAGCACAGCTAAATAAGCACTGTGATCAGTTATTGAGGAAGGAAATCAGTGGGGTCAAATAACTAGGCAGAATTACCCAAGTGCAGGTAACAATTGGATGTTTTTGTCTGTCTTTTTCCTATTTGTATACTATCTATTTTAAGCCTATTAATATGAACTCATAAAGCACTTAGCTCTCTTATTCTTGTATTGATTTGCAGTTATCAAAAATGTACTTTAAAAAAAAAGCATTGTAAGCAAGAAGACAGTTCTTCCTTGGTAGCTTGAACTTTGGGCTTGGGAGTAGGATACTATCTTTTATTGCCTTGACAGATTTCTCCAGCGGGCTGAAGTTAGGTCCAGTTTCAAGGCAATCTACTCTCTTTTTGTTAAAACAAAAATGTTGCTAGTTTATCAGTGCATAGTGTGACATTGCACTGCTCACAGTTTTGTAAAACAACAAGCACAAAACTTCTGTACCATGTTAGGAAGCGTCAAGGGGTTTAAATTTCGAAAAGAATACCCGAATCTAAGAACTTACCCATTGTTTTAACATTCTTCAGATCTTCACAAAACTAAGACCTTTAAATTAGGATGTTTGATTGGCATGTCTATTTAGTAAGTTAGCTGGAATTATGTCAGTTTTTATGCAAGGAGAGTGATTTGTATGTTTATACTTGTTTGCTTATTTATGACCCATCAAAAGCATAGTCTTGTTTATATTTATTTGAATTTAGTTTCTTTCCTCTACTAGAGAGTCTTGAAGATGTCTCAGGTCTTATTATATCTCAGATTCTTAATATAGCACGTGGCCAATAGAGACATTCAGAAGTTTAATTAATAGATCAATTGCATTAGAAAGCAGTGCCCTGCAAATGTAATATGGATTACATTGATGACAGTGCTCTTAGCTCCCTGGTGCTAAGGTATCATGCCCATCACCACCAGCAGAAGACCTGGGGGAGTGGGAGGTGTGGGGTAGAGGGAAGACATCAGGTTTTCCACCCCATTTTTCAAGTTGTGGAGCTGGGAAGCCTGAAGAAAGGAATAATTCCTAGCTTTCTATAATCCTTTTCAAGTTTTGGTATTTACACTGAAGGTTGATACTCAGAATTGATGACAACATGAAAGCATTTGTGCCTTTTCTTGAAATTCCTGGTTTGGTTTAGCTGTTCTTTCTGTTGGTGGCTCAGAGAAGGCATACGGTCCTAGGGTCATGGTCATGATGAGACACAGGGAAGTAGCAGGTGCCTAGCATTGACTGTAGATTGTAAAATGGCTGAGCTAGAAGTCAGAGCAAGGTGTGTTTCTTGGTTGTTGGTTTTAGTTTTAGTTCCAACATGCATGCTGTGAGGTTTTTTTTTTCCAACACTGCTGACTGTAGATAAGGAGTAGAACTAACAGACACATTGTACCCAGGAGTAAGCACTTTTTCTTTCAAACTCTGCTTTGTTCCAGTAAGATTTTGAGATTGCTTACAGTTGCATATACAGTATAATAAGATAATTAAGGAATTTGGGGGAAGAGAGAATAAAGATAGTATAAAGAAGTTTGCTGCAGAGCTGGCATGGAACTTTCTAGCAGTGTACACAAAAAGGGAATCAATCCATTATATGCTCGATGGCATCTGACCTTGGCAACTGACCAGGCAGCTGACTGAATAGAAGTACAACCTCTTTTAGAATATTGTTCAAAGGAGATATTGTGAGATATCCTAGAGTATATCCAAAATAACTTCCTACCATAAGCAAGGCCGTTTCTTAGAATCATCTGTATGTATCTTGGACTATATATCTTGGAAATGAGGGCTGAGGACAGTTTGAGATATATAGCTTAAAAATTTCATTCCTATTTTCTTTTCATTCAGAACTTGCTTCCTGTATTAATTGACATCTAGTATTTTCCAGGTACTGTGCTAAACTTTTTACCTCAGAATGCCAGTGTAAGTTAACATTTTCTGTCTATGCATCCTTAGTGTAGTGGAGAAAACAGTCATTCTAATTCAGTACAGTAAGTGTTGGGAGAGTGGAGGACTAGTAACAAATGGATTTGAAGTTGGAGTGACAAAAAATCGTCGTTACAATAATTGGCTCTTCTGATTCTGAACAGGTATGAAGTTTAGACAATACAGAAAATAGAATATGTTCTACAAGGAAATGACCTAATGAATTTGTCTTTGTGGTTTTAAGGTCTATATGCGAATGACTTGTTATAATCATAGATGTTCAAAGTATATTCTGAAAACAAATTAGATATTCAAGATAAGTGTTCAATTATGAAAGAATTTGTACGTGTGGGAAGATAAGCCAGTTCTAATTAGAGTAATAGTTGAGGAAAGTAACCCCAGAAGAAAGTAACCTGAAAGAAATACTTGTCCAGTAGGTATGAAGCAAGGGATACTCATAGCAAATTTTGCTGCTCTTAGAGAAGAAAAGAAAAATTAAGAAACAACAAAGAAAATTAAGATAGGATGAAATTTTTTTCCCAAACAAAAATTGTAGGCTCCAGAGAGATGAGAATGGAATTTAGTGATTGCCCTTGTGACTTTTTGTGAGCTTGTCATTCATGGATTACTAATACAAAAGAGAAGTGACCAGGAAATGGCTGTTATTACATGTGTGTGTGTGTGTGTGCGCGCGCATTTTTTCTAAATCCTAATACTGTTCCAGGCCAGATCAGAGAGAGAGAAAAAGAAGATGCTAGAGGTAGGGAGATGAGCTAGAGCAGAATTCTAACTGTCCAGGCTTTTAAACCCAGGGTAGTGGTAGAAAAACAAACATAATGGCTTAGAGCTGGGAAGTGAAACCAACTTGTGGGTTGATTGTTTCAATCAAATCTTTGGTACTTTGAGGCATTCCAGTAGCAGAATCTGGAAATCAAAAAAGGAAGTGAACTTAGGAGTCATAATGGTGACTTTGGTTTTTCTATAGCCTATTGACTATGAGGTTATACAACCCCTGGAAAGGTTGAACAGATGTCCAGCTAACCACCATGGGCAGGGATACCATTACAGAAATACACTAGTAGAGTTGGACCGTGTTTATTATCCCAACATTCTAGAGGCTGAGGCTAGAAACCAGCCCAGGTCACAAGGTAAGACCCTATCTCCATAAACCAAAAAGAAAGAAAGGGGAGATGGGGAGAAAAGCAGGGAGGGAACGAAAGAGAAAAAGAGAGCGAAATAGATATCTTCACCGATATTAGCTGAATATGAGGGCATGGTAAGAGCTAGGGAGTGGAGAATATGGTTAGAAAATCAAAGGACCAACTGGAGAACAGATGGGGAAGGAAGAAGCATTAGACAAATAGGAGAACCATTTATGTGTAAAGGAGATTCAGCCAAGTAGCATAGCTCACAAATTCAAGTTGGTAAGTTCAAGGTTCAAATTCACAAGTCCAAGGTTATTGCACAGCAGAGCTATGTTATCTTGCAGACCCTGCGAGAATGCATTTTGAATAGCAAAGTAGCTACAAGTCACATTAAAGGGAAGGAAAAGTAATGATGAGGAAGTAAAAGTTGCAGCCATAGAAGATACTGCCCTCAGGGTTTCAAAAAGGAAGGAGAGAGGCCTGGTGTCCATGGCTCATGCCTATAATCCTAGCCACTCAGGTTTAGGTCTGCAAATCTTGGTTTGAAGTCAGCTCCAGTTAACTAGCAGTGTTGGATTGGAAGTGGAAGAGCACTGGCCCTGAGGGAAAAAGCCAAGCCATGCAGGAGTCCCCGGCCCTGATTTGAGTCAGTACCAGCACGAGACAGACAGACAGACAGAGAGAGGGAAAGAGAACAGGGAAGAATCATTAAGTAACACTGAATGAATGTTGTTTAGATTGGAAATGGGTGGCATAGGAAAACTGGATATTCTAGAATAAGACATTAGTGGTGAGGTAATGAAAGAGTCCGATTTTAAGGGGATTATTGGGTTTAAACTACTCAGACATTTGATGCCACTCCTCCCTGCCCAAAGCAGTCCTCCTTAAGTGGCCATGTAGTACATATGATCTCCTCTACTGGGCCATTCGGTCCCAGCTGCCTTACAAGGTTCAACTTTATCCAGATACATAATGATGGTAATACCCACTCTGCTTATTTGCTTACCAAGTGCCAAAGCTTGTTTTAATTTTTCTATAAAAATTTGAGGAAAGTATATCTTAAGAGTATACTTATATGACAATACACTATCAGAGTTGGGTTATATAAGTTCTAGGAAGAAATATATGGTGAGATGTATTGATGAGTCAGATTTTAATTTTTTTTAACTTTTTTTTTTTTTTTGTTGGTTGTGGGGCCTGAACTCTGGGCCTGGCTACTGTCCCTCAGCTCTTCAGCTCAAGGCTGGTGTTCTACCCCTTGAGCCACAGCACCAGTTCCAGCTTTTTCTGCTTATGTGGTGCTGAGGAATCGAACCTAGGGCCTCATGCATGCAAGGCAAGCACTCTACCACTGAGCCACCTTCCTAGCCCAAGTCAGATTTTAAGTTATAACTGAAGAGCATGTTTAGCAGACAGAATGAAAGACATTTTAATATAGATTGACTTTTACTTAGAGTCTAATACTTGTGTAACTATCCCAGTATATATTCAAATCTTAGAACACAAAATGTTTTAGGAAGCCACGAGTCCTTGACTACCATTTTAACTCCTTTCATTCCTGTAATCTCTCCCTGTACCCAGCTAGTTCTGTAATCCTTGTAGCTAACCCATACCTAATACTATTTTTTTCCAGTATATAGAACTGTTTTCTTATTATTTAATATACTCATTTGATTTTAGGTTTTAGATACAAAAGACCTTACAATAGAAAAAGTGGTGATCAATGGGCAAGAAGTCAAATACACTCTTGGAGAAAGACAAAGTTACAAAGGATCACCGATGGAAATCTCCCTTCCTATCGCGCTGAGCAAGTATGAATGCTGTCTTCCCCTTTTATACTTGAATAATGGAGAAATGTAGTAATTGACATGCCCTCTGATCTGATTAGGTTTACAGTAAAAGTGAAATATACTTAAGATACTAAAGAAAACATTTAAGAATGGAACTTGGGGGCTGGGAATGTGGCTCAGTGGTAGAGTGCTTGCCTAGCATGTATGAAGCCCTGGGTTTGATTCCTCAGTACCGCATAAACAGAAAAAAGCCTGAATTGGCTCTGTGGCTCAAGTGGTAGAGCACTAGCCTTGAGCCAAAGAAGCTCAGAGATGGTGCCCAGGCCCTGAGTTCAAGCCCCATGACAGGCAAAAAAGAAAAAAAAAAAAAAGAATAGAACTTGGGGTAACTGTGACTTCTTTGGTTACTCATCATTTTACTGCTATCTTCCATGATGAAGGGACATGCCACCATAGGAGGTATTTCAGGAGGAACCTGGGACGTGTTCACAAGCTGCACCTTCTCCTTTGCCCCAGAGGCCAGCTGCTGCTGTTAATGGAATAATAATCATAGTGCTAATCATAGAAGTGTTCACTGGATCCAATGTGGGGATAAGTAGTTAGATATATTCTTCAATCCTTATAGTAACCAGATTCAGATGAAGAACTCTCAGAGAAATAATTACTTATTCAAGAAAAATTGTGATTCTGAAGCCAAAATCATCATAGGAGGAGTACATCATACCCCCTGATACACTGAGGAGGGGCAGAGGCCTGCATAAGGGTGCTCTGCTGCCACTTTTAAGTGGACAGGGTTTTCACGAATTCTCTTCTCCTTTGAGGGAAAGGAGGGGTGTGCTGGTGGTACAGGCCAGCATTTGGGTGGTGAAGGCAGGAGGATTGCTATTTTGAGGCCAGAGTGGGCTATACTACAAGTTCTACGGCAGCCCAGACCATATAACAAGAGCCTGTCTCAGAAAAGGAAGGGAAGGAGGGAGAGAGGGAAGAAACACCCAACTTATTTGAGAGATGGACACCATTACCCCCATTCTTCACATGAAGAAACTATGGCATAGGGGCGCCCAGTAATTTGCTTCTCACAAGCCAGGCTGCTAGTCTTCAGAATTTTTGCCACTTCTTTATTCTTAGTACTTTTGAGAGTAGCTGGGGTAAGGACCAGTTTTTGCCAGTCAGTCCATCGTACACAAATACTTTTGTAAAATACCATACGCATAAATTGCTAATAAGAAGAGATTAAATACAAGCATATATTGTTTTCTTATTGTTAGATATAGCAGACATAAAATTAACTCTACAAATTTCTGAATACTTCTTGGTTTCTAAATACGTTTCCTCTTGGTCAGGAACATTTTGCACGTCAGCACTCTGCTGTCCCACGCGCTGGCACCCACCACTTATGGTAATAGAAGTTCCAAAATTATTTCTTCCACTTCCCCCTGTCATAAAAGACTAATTGTAGGATTGCAAGTTTGAGGTTAGCCCAAACAAAGTTAACAAGCTCCTCTCTTAAAAACAATAAAATCAGATGGACTGGGGGCATAGTTCAAGTGGTAAAGTACTTATCCAGAAAGCATGAAGCCCTACATTTAATCTCCTGTACTACCAAAGGGAAAAAAAAGAAAAAGAAAAAAGGCTAATCAGTATCACAATGAACACTGGTTGATGTTCACTAGAATAGTAGAGCAATACAGCGAACAAGACCCACAGGCTGGCATGCAGATTGGAAAGCAAAAGGCACATTTAAGTAATCTGTTGATCTATGCTTCCTTAGAGCTCACTCTCAATTGGTACTGAGATCTCATATGGTATTGCTTATATTATTCAGTGTTTGTATTATGAATCGAATTTTAGGTAGATGGAATTATACTCTATTGATATGTTCATTTCATACAGGAATCAAGAGGTTGTTATAGAAATTACTTTTGAGACATCCCCCAAATCATCTGCTCTTCAGTGGCTTACTCCTGAACAGACTTCTGGGAAGAAACACCCATATCTCTTTAGTCAGTGCCAGGTAAGAAGGCTGCATAAAGAAAACCACCATCACATGGGGGTTTTATGGGGGGGTCTTCCCCTCATGTGAATCTTGTGTAACATACTATTTTCATTTATTCTATAAAGCGGTATAAAACTATATTCAATAAAACTTCACATATACTTCTTGCTGTTAATACATTCATATATTGTATTCAAAAATAAGTCCCCTTTAATTTGGTAATCGTGCACCTTCATTGGAGTATTTAGGTTCTCATTGACACCCTGGTACCTAGCATAGAACTTGCCATAGAGTAAAGATCAGTAAATGACCATAAAGTGCAAGGAAAAATTTAACACAACAGGAATAGTATGTACTGATTTGCAGTTTATAAAAAAAAAAAGAGGAAAGTGAAAGATCAAATCCTTAAACCTCCTCAGACAGCATTGCTCATTGAGTTTGGAGTGTAAGCTGTCCAGATTTCTCTTACACCCTTACTTATGTAGAGATATTATTTAATACGTTAAATATACTTTAAAATGATACTGTTCTCTGGGTGCCAGTGGCTCATACCTGTAATCCTAGCCACTCAGGAAACTGAGATCTGAGGATTGTTGGTTCAAAGCCAGCCTGGGCAAGAAAGTCATTGAGACTCTTATCTCCAATTAACCACCAGAAAACCAGAAGTGGCTTTGTGGCTTAACTTAATAGATAGAGTGCTTGCCTTGAGCAGAAGAGCTCCGGGACGGTGCCTAGGTCCTGAGTTCAAGCCTTATGACTGAAGGAAAAAACAAACCCAAATGGTATTATTCAAATTACTTCTGTTTTCATTTCAAAACCAAGAACAAACATACAATTAGAGACAGCCTCTCATAAGGAATAATAAGTGTCAAACTCTTCTGAAAAAAAAAAGATATAGTTCTGTCAACTTAGTAAAATGACTATATTACCAGGCATATTTAATCATTTAAATATTGTTATGTGATAACTATCATGTTAGGCTTAAATGGAAGTTAAAGATTAGAAATAATAAAGCATGGTTTATAAACACATTTACTTTGTGTGGTCACTTAGAATATCTTTTCAGTCTAAGAAAACTTAGTTCAGTAATCTGGAAGATGTAAAATGTTCTGGGCAAGAATATATACATTGTTCTCTACCAGTAGCTGATTTTCACTCAGTATTTCTCTGGAATGTCTGTAGGCTAAAGTTAACGGGGAATGTAATATTTGTGAGTCCTAAGAATGTAAAATATAAGTATATTATTCTGTTTTTTTATTGGTATCAGTTATTGAAATATGGAGAAATAAATTTCAGCTAAATAATTTTTGCAGTTGACAGCAAGTAAACAGACGGGATTCTTTTTGATGAATATGTTGGTTATACAAATTTATTTGCCTCAGTCTTTGCAATAAAATACATGTAACAATGCCTTTGACACTGCCCAATCACCTACCTACAACATAGATCAATAAAGAACACAGGAGTCATGAACTGAGAATCCTAATTTGGAGAGATCGACATGGTTCTTGTTGTCCTGCTTATTTCATCCAGAAGATATCTGGGAGCCTATGTCTTTGGGGAATCCTCTAGATCTGAAGAAAGAGGAGCTGAAGTCTAAGAATTTTAAGGAAGGCTAGGATTTTTCACAGAGACTGGTGCTGATGATGTTAGTGTCAGACCTGCTTTAGCGCAGTAGACTGTCTCAACAAAGCTGGGCTTGTTGTCTCTTAGGGATGACTTATTTATAAATAGTTTGGCTTATGAAATTGTGGCTGTTCTTTTTGGTGGAATCCGTGTTTATGACAAATTGATGTGAGAACATAGAACTAATATCACATCTTATAAGAATGATTATATGATGAGAGGAAAATTTTGATCCCAATACATTATATGCATGGTATAAATAGCATAATGCAGCCCTTTTGTGCAACTAATTTACACTAATAATTTTTTTAAACAATGAATAATGGGAGTCTATTTCCTCCCTCCCATCCTTGTTTTTACTTTCAAGCTTTGCTACAAGATTGAAATGTCAAGACAAGAACATTTCTCAAGCTATTTTCCTGAGTACACTGAGATTACATTAAATTTTACCTCACCAGAGAAAAACAGGTTTCATGCTAAAATATGTGTGATGAATTAAACAGGTTTCTTCATTGTAGGTCTTTCTAGACCATTCTTAAAGCTGACTCTCCAGGTTGGATGGAGTACGCGGTGGTCCATAGCTTTATGTCAGTGCATTGCCCGTCTTCCTCAGGGATTCTGAGAACCTGGAGCTCACTCTAGTTCCTAGTGCTTACTGGGTAGAGTTCAGAGCAGCAACATTGCCTAACAAGTTTCTTACTGCTTCACTGAAATGTGAAGGGTGACTAGATTACAAGGGGAAATCTGTATTTAGTTTTGGCAAGAATGTCTTAATGATTTCTTCATGACTCAATTTTTTAGGAAAGGGACTCACTATTTCTTTTTCTTGTGCCCTCTCTCAGGCCATTCACTGCCGAGCAATTCTTCCTTGCCAGGACACGCCTTCTGTGAAATTAACTTACAGTGCAGAGGTAAATGTCACAGATTGTTGACTGTATCGAATAATAAGTAAATGTGGCAGGCATGTTAAGAAGAGATGATAGTTTGAGTTTTAGAACTTGAAATAGTTTCATGGAATTCTATCTGCAATGTGTTTTTTAAAAAGTGAGGACATTAAACACATCCACTTCAAAGGCAGTTTTAACATTATAAATATGAAAGAAGGAAATGAAACCCATTTATATTTTTAAAAAGGACTTTAGAATTCTAGATCTAAAACCAAGAACTTAAGGCCATTTTCTGGCTTTGTTTCAGTTGTTACTGTTTGTCAAGGTTTTGTTTTATATTGGTGGTACTGAGGATTTGAATGCTTGGCTTTCAGCTTGCTAGGCAGGTGCCCTCCTCCTTAATCCACATCCTCAGCCCTTTTATTTTGGTTATTTTTGAGGTAGGGTCACACTTTTATCCCTGAATTAGGCTTCTCTGTAGCTGTGGTTGCCAAGTGTGAACCATTGCACCCAGCTCTTTGTTGGTTGAGATGGAGTGTCTCACTTGAGATGGAGTGTCTCACTTTTTGCTGGACTGGCCTTGATCCTTCTGATCTCAACCTCCCTAGAAGCCAGTATTTCAGGCATGAGTCACTATACCGTGTGTGTGTGGGGGGGGG